GTGAGGAGGACCAGGTTGCCCAGAGAAGTTGTGGATGCCTCCTCCATGGAAGTGTTCGAGGTCAGGCTGATCAGGACTTTGAGCAACCAGATCTAGTGAAAGATGTCCCTGTCCATGGCAGGGGGATTGGAACTGTAAGGTCCCTTCCAACCCAAACCCTTCTATAATTCGACAATTTTGTGATAGGAAGTGTTGTCCCCAGTGCAAGCCGGTGACCTGCCCTCATGGCTGAAGCAGTGCTTTCCAGGCGCCACGGGGAGATGATGATCTCGTAGGACAGGCACAGGCCGTGCAGGGTGGGCTGGCTGAAGTATTGGGGTACCCTGACACCCAGCACACTCCTTTCCTAGGAAAACCACGCTGAAATCCCATTATAGGATCAAAGACTGAAGTGAAGCTCAGCAGCTTCTTTTGTCATCTTACACCAAGGATGACCAGCACAACAGCTTAGTGACTCACTCCTCAAACACGAGGATTATGGCCCCATGCTTCCTACTCACCACAGATCGCTGTGCCATGTCCCCTCCAAGCAATGCTCCCCTGCCTGTCCCCCTCTCCCACTGCTGCGTAGCCAGTGGCCACACTTCTCCTGCCAAATATATTTTGGGAGAGAGTTCACCATTTTGTGAGAGACACAGCCTCGACTGGCTACCAGTGCCCATGAGGAAAGACCGTCCCTTCCTCAAAATGCTGCAACAGTTGCAGACAAGGAGGGGGACACTTTTTCCCCCATAGCGGAGCCCAGGGCCAGGGGGTGCTTAATGCAGCACCCATTTTACCCACTTCGTCACCGAGCCCCGACGTTGAGTCCATGCAGCTTAAGGATGAAGCTCAGAAGATGAATGCTTCTTTTTTTGTCCCTTAAGAGTCTTTCCTGAAGGATGCTATTTAAATGGCCCCATTTGGAGGGGACTTTGTCTGGAAGGACAGAGGACAGAGCCCTGCACCTCTCTCTGTGGCTGCATTGGGCATTCCCTGGAGCATGCTTTCAGGGCGTGTGTGTTCACCTTCGCCTCCATGTGTTGCAGCAAGCAGGATTTTGGCACTGCATCAGGTTGTGAGATTTCAGCTATCTCCAAGCCACCTAGCCATCTCCAAGCCACCTTTGCTCAAACTTCCTACAAAGTGGCTTTGCGCTCCCAAGCGCTGGATTTAGGCAGGAGCTGGTGGGAAGGATGGAAGTTGCATCGCAAGCTCAGTGTGGTCGTCCACGCTGGGGGGAGGCAGGTGATGGCCACCCTGCTCTGCAGAGGCAAGAGGACGTGGGGACCATATTGCAGATCCTGTAGGTGCTCCTGAAGGCTGAACCTGTCAATAGGAGATGGCAGGACCCCAAACCTAGACCCGTATGGTTGCAAACCCAGAGCCGAAGCGGCCAGGGGATTCCTGCATGCTGGACAGTGCCACAAAAACCTGCTACATCCCCGCAGAGCTGACCTGCAAGCCCAGTTCCTGGCACACACAAGGTCCAAAACACCATCGCCCTGAATAAAAAGCAATCCCCTGAGTTTCTCCCCACGGTCTAAGAGTGTTTCTCTCTTCTCCTGACCTTGCCCCCGCCTTGCAGGATTGGCCGTTCGATGATGGAGCGCCTCCTCCAAGCAAGATAGTGGAAGATTGGCTCAACTTGCTGAAAACCAAGTTCTGTGAAGACCCTGGCTGCTGTGTGGCCGTGCACTGCGTGGCTGGCCTCGGGCGGTAAGTCAGAGCCCTGCACCCCAGCTGCCACCCCACCCATGAAAAACCATGCCCTCTCTCCTCCTTCCATTCCCCAATCCCCCAGTGAGCAGGGTTTTTGCATACAGTAAAACCTTAGTGGGAATTTGGTGGGGGGAGGACACAGATCTGCTGCCTGAGCTTGCCCTTGCACATCTTAGAGCCAAATCCTGGGCACCAAGGGACACCTGGGGTGCTCAGTGCTGTCCTGCTGGTGCCCTGCAACTGTTGTGCTTTTGCTAAGAGCTCATCGTGGAAATACTGCAAAATGCCTCCCGCTACAACTGGGAGCTGATGATTTTTGAGAGCTGCTGCATTTTGCCACAGGTCAGGTTTTGCATATGTATTTACATCCTCTTTCCAATAGATTTCCCACCAAAGTCTTTGTGCTTGTTGCTCTGAGCAACCTGATCCAGCTGAGTACGTCCCTACTCATTGCAGGGGGGTTGGACTAGATGGCCTTTAAAGGTCCCTTCCAACCCAAACCATTCTGTGATTCTACACTGCTATGATTAGAAGAGCAGCAAACAGCTGCCAGCCCCATCCTAGGGGTTTTACCCCAAAATGCTTGTTGGGGCAGCACTTGCAGCCAAATGGCAAAGAAATTACAAACTAAAAGCCAGCACTGGCGATTGCCCATAAGTGCCACCATAACAGCCCAGCAGCGTGTCCCCTCACCCCAGGATGGGATGTCAGCCTCTGGGCCATGTGGCTGGTCCCCAGCCACTGCCATTGCCTTTCAGCGCTCCCGTCCTCGTCGCGCTGGCCTTGATCGAGAGCGGGATGAAGTACGAAGACGCCATCCAGTTCATCCGACAGTAAGTCGAGCAGCGTTTCAGTGTTGGCAGAGAAGGCAGCCCCTCTCTGAGGGAACAGAGAGATGTGGTGTGTCCCAGGGTTTTTCAGGACACCGGGGCTACTTTTCTCTGCTTCGGAGGAGGAAAAGAGAGGTGTTGGCATCGAGCACCCTGTGCCTTTGTGTCAGGGCTGGGCAGCAGTTGAGAGCTCCCTGGGGGGCTTTGGGCAGGTGCCCTGCTTCTGACAGCTGCCCCATGCATTTCCTTCCTAGCTCTCCATGTCCTGTGACTCACAGGGTGGATGAGCAAGAAAAGCAGCTGGGGTCGGTGCACTTCTCCATCCAAGGAGGACCCCTGGGCCTGCAGTCTGGTGAGGCCACACCTCAAATACTGAATTCAGTTTTGGGCCCCTCACTACAAGAAGGACATTGAGGTGCTGGAGCATGTCCAGAGAAGGGCAGTGAGGCTGGTGAGGGGTCTGGAGAACAAGTCTTACGAGTGTAGAAGAATTCTACTCACACACAGGACTGAGAGATACAAGGATAAATGCTCTGTCCCATTAGCATGGGCCATTTCTCTGCTGTGGTCATCTAAATTCAGAGAGATGTGATGGCTCCTTTTTAGGAGAGAGAAAATCATTATGCTTTCTGCCTGCTAAATTTTGCGGGGAAGCTGGTAAATGATATAGGAAAATTTTCTTTACTGAAAGAGTGGTCAGACATTGGAACAGGCTGCCCAGGGAGCTGGTTGAGTCGCCATCCCTGTATGTGTTCAAAAAAATGTGTAGATGTGGCAATTCAGGACATGGTTTAGTAGGCCTGGTGGTGTTGGGTTGACGGTTGGACTTGATGATCTTAGAGGTCTTTCCAACCTTAAGGATTCTATGATTCTCCAAAATCCCTTCCTGCACCAGGTAGGGGGAGCTCAACACTTGGACAGGGATGGGTTCGGGGTGGGAGGTCTTCTGCCACACCACTGACCATGCCGGCCCTTCTCTGTCCCTGCAGGAAGCGCAGAGGAGCCATCAACAGCAAGCAGCTGACATACTTGGAAAAATACCGACCAAAGCAAAGACTCCGATTTAAGGACCCTCATAACCACAAGAACAAATGCTGCATCATGTAACCTCAATGACCTCTTGCCAAAATCCGTGCACACAGACACCCGGGCACTCGCACACATCCCACCCCGTCACCTCCTCGCCCAGCCCTGTGCACCCCACGCGCCGCCCCGCTGCCACGGCTGGGGTGGGGGGACATGGAGCACCACCGACGCATTCCGTGCCGGACCCCTGAAAAAGGCTGCTCCCTCCAGCTACAGCCCCGAGGAGGGAAGGCAGCGCTGCCCTTTGACTCTTGGCATTAGCAGGCAATGAGCTCACGTGATGGTTCTTCATCACCTTCCTCCTCCTCCCTTTCCCCTCCTGTTGCACTGAGAGGGGTGGGCGAAGGGTGCTTGTTTTGGGGTGATGCAGACAGGGCTGTGCCAGCTGAGAAGGGATGGGGAGCAGGAGGGCCAGAGCACCCCCAGAAAAACCCTTTCCCACCTCTTTCCTGTAAATAAGGGCTGCAGCAGCAGGGACGGAGGTGGAGGTGACATGGTGGCCTCGGAGGGGAAGCTGGTGATGGCACGGAGAGGTGACAGGGGCTCGTGATTTGGTGCTGGCCTTGTGGCCACGGGAAGGGCTGAGCAAATTCCCCCCCAGCACCGTTCCCTTTCTCCTGGCTCCTCTTCCACTCCACCGTCTCCCCGTTGCCTTGATGCCGGCTGGGCTGCTGCAGACGGGGCTCCTTGGGGACTCGCTGCAGCAAAGGCAGGGTCACTGGGAAACTTGGGGACCGTGACAGGGCTTTGAGGCATGCAGCTTTGCCAGGCTGCAGCATCAGCACTGGGTCCTCCGAAATGCGGAGTGCTCTTATTTATAGCTTCCAAATTCAGTGCGCAGGGTGGTGGGTTCGCTCCCGTCGTGTCTCCATCACCGAGCTGGCGCAAACCCCAGTTCTGGCTGCGATGCTCCAGGGACGCAATGTGCATCTTGGGGCACGTCCCTGTCCTCCACCGCTGTGTTTGCTGGCTGAGGGGCTGGGCCGCAGCTTTCCTGGGGGTGGTTTGGCTGCTCCTGGCAAGAGCACGTCACCAAATTTTGCACCTGCCTTTCCCACATCTGTAATGCGGCACCAGGCACCCTGAAACCCCCCAGCGCATGCCCTGGTGGGGTGGACTCAGAGCCGCCCCTGAACCAGGACATTAAACATCACTCAACTTTCTGCCTTTGAACGCTTGCAGTAGCTGGAGCGGTGGGCACACAGGGGGCATGGGAGTGTTTTTTTCTTTTGATGAGGATAAGAAGAAATTTGCTAATTAAAGGAAAAAAAAACTTAAAAAAAAAAAAAAAACCTGTTTGTCTTCCGCATGTCCTCTGGCCTTTCTTTCTCCCATCACTGCCCAGTGGAACCCAGGAGGTGACCCATGGCCCCCCCAGCCCTATCACTGGCACCGGGTCACAGCTGGCTGCCATCCACTGTCACCAGGGCATACGTGTGGCCCAAGGGATGCCCCGGGTGTCCTTTGGACTCGCTGCTGCTCACTGCCTCGGCTGCAGAGGATCTCAGTTGTTGGGGCAAGGAGAACTAGTCGTCCGGCGTCTTGTGGTTTTAGGCTGCCCAACTTGAGATGCCTTCAGTGCCCTGTGTTGGGTATCTCCAAAGGTCTGTGTGCCTTCCAAAACATAGACTATCCAGAGACACTTGCTTCAGAGGGTTCATCTCTTGGGAGAAGTGGTGAGGAAGGCTGGTTAGACACTTTTGGTACCTGCAGAAGGGTAGGGGATGGCTTCGTGCCACCAGATATGGACAGCGGAAGAGCTTGGAGCCGTTTCCTGCACCACTCCTCCTCTCCTTGTGGGAACCAGCCCCACTGCATGGAAGGGATGGCCATCCCGTGGGACGGGCTGTGGTGCCGAGTGAGGTGGGGACCCTCCATGCATGGCCCTGGAGTTGTCATACTGCATACCTGGGACCTGTCCAAGCCTCCACATTGTGGTCTGCCTTCAGTCCACTGAGTTTCTCCTGCCCCACTCCAGGCTGTTGATTCCTATGTCTCATGGGGAAGGCGGCAATGGTCGAAGGGTCTGCGTTGGTTGGGAAGGGTGAGAGATTGGGCTGATAAAAAGGCCTGATCCTGTATTACAGCAGTCCCACTGGGTGGGTCACCATCCCCTTCCTGGCCAAGTGTGTCCTGCTGCTAAAACGAGTGCTGCTTCGTCCCCTGGGGCAGAAGGAGGTGGCTTAGCATTGCAACAGGGACAGCCCCAGTCCCTCTTTGCCTGGAGACCTCATGGTCCCATGTGCTCCCCAGCCACAACAGGCTGTGCCACGACTTGCAAAGAGTTTGGGATGAAGTGGTGGGAACCGTTGCTTTGCAGACTTAAGATGTTTCTGCCCTGGCAAAAGGAAGAGAAATTTTTTCATCATCCTTGCTCATGTGAACATCACATGCCCAGGGAAATTGGTCCGGGTGTCAGCCACGATGCTTTGGAGTTGGGGTTGGGATTGGGACAGAGGGGCTCATTCAGCCACAGGAGGTCTTCACCTCCTTCATGCAGGGATTGATGGTGGAAGTGCTCAGCTCTGAGGAGAGTACACTCAATTCTCAGCTTGGTGGGCTTGTTTGGGGGAAACACAAGGGAGGACAGGATTGCAGTGCTCCTTTGCTTTATGTAGCATCAACCCAACCACCTTAAAAATAGAGTGCTTCTGGTGTAAGAGCAGTCCTTGACTTGGTATAGTCCATGTGGCCAAATCCTGAACGCCTCTGGCTGGCAGAGCAGCATCTTGACACTCCTCAGTTTTGTAAGTCACTGTAAAAAAAACCCAAACTCATGCTGCTGTAATTGTCCCATTTTTTTTTCTTTTTTTCTTTTTTTTTTTAATGGGTGCCTCCCCCTTGTCCTGGAACTCACTGTCACCTCCCATGTGCTACTCCATGGACAGGACACCTCGGCAGCCCAGGAGCTGCCACCCTTGCATGGAGGGCTTGAACCCACTCCAAGGTTTCTCTGGGTTGGACTGCCAAATATTTGGTGGATTTTTGATAGGGACCTGGGGCTTCTGCCCCTGAGGCACTAGCTCCTCGATGTTACAGCCTAGAGAGGGTTACAGAAACATAACAGGCTGGGGAAATGGAGGGGTCTTCCAACCATGTTTTGGGTTAGAAATCACAAAACAAGAGCCCAGTTCCCTCACAAAAATCTTGGGACAGTTGGGGAAGAGGGAAAATTGGAGTTCAGTAGATTTATAGCACCAGAGCGAGGCCTAAGCGGCCAAGGGTTCATGGTTTGAGCTGGTTTTGTGGTCTCTCCTTGTACGCTAATCCTCGTTTCACCTCAAATGCCAAGATGTTGAAAGGAGAGCCTTAAAAATCTGACATACTTGCTGATTCTGTTATTGCTCCAGTTGTCTCCATTGTGTCTTGGTAGATGTCGTAGGGAACAGAGACCTCCATGGCTTTGGCTACAAAACAACCACCTTACCCTGCCCTTATCTGCAGAAGCAAAGGCACAGACTGGGTTTTACAGCTCCTGACCCCTATCCACCTCCCTTGCCCCCCTTCCCACCGCCATGGAACCCCGCTATCGTTCCATAGTTTGCAGGGACAAAGGCTCCAAACTGGTAGCAAGAGCTTGGGAGACCCAAGGGATGGCAAAGCAGAGATGCCCTAACCATCAAACCAAGAGCTTGTAGGCTTTGCCCTGGAATCAATCATGGCTGAACCTCGCATGGGGGAATAAACCTGAGCAGGAATTCATATTGTGTCTTCTCACCGGTGGCACACATGTACCCTTATCTGCATTTCAGTTGAGGGGCTTGTGTGTCCCTTCTGCTCTCCATGTTTGCCAGTTGGATGGAGCGCGTGGTGGGGGCAGCGGTGGGAAGGAAGGCGACGCAGCCGTTGCAAACAGTCAGCTATTTATTTAAGAAAGGTCTGGTGACACATATTTAAAGACTTTGCATTTGTAAATTCATATTATGAGTCTTGCAGTAAGGCTGACACTGTGGTGCTTGGGCTGAGAGCTTCAGATGAGGAGGTTTATGAGTAACAGATTTCCCGAGGAAGCAAAGAGTCTTGTTATATCTACAACAGAACGAGTAATTTTCTTTTTTTTTTTTTCGTTGGGTTTGTTTGTTTTTTATTAGTCCCAGTGGGAAAGCACACAGGGAGATTCGTGACTTCCATGCATTTTCCAGGGTCTTATAACTCATCTGCTTCCAGTGGGTTGGGTAGGTGCCATTCGGCGGGTGGATTTGGATGGGATTCTGTCTGGTGGGAGAAAAATGTGGCTGGTTTCTTTGCGCAACGGGGGGTCACCGGCCGGCTGCGGTCCTGCTTGCAGGCTTCAGCAGACATTCCTGGGGAGGGGGTTGTTTCGCCGTGCTCGGCTTCCCTTTAGACCACGATCTCCCAATGAACTCTCGACTTCCCCGCTGTTTCTTTCTGTGCAACAAAGAACTGCATATTTTCCTTTTTAACTCCATGGGCAATTGTAGTAGTATGTAGATTAAGGCCAGATGACTTTGTGTTTTTTGTTTTTTGTTTTTTGTTTTTTTTTTGTCTGAGCCATAGCTAAATTATTATACCCAATGCTTTTTGTATCAGACATCATCACTTTGAATATGCAGATGAGGTATAGGATCTTGACACGTTATAACCTTTTTAAAAAGAAACTTGTCTGTTTACTTACGTCTTGTGTGAAAAGGAAAGAATTGTATGCCTTTTAATAATCACTTTTTT